ACCGTTGCTCCAGTTGCTCACTATGCCGCTCCAGTCTCTCACTACTCAGCCCCTGCTGTGGTCAAGACCGTTGCTGCCCATTATGCTGCACCCGTGGCTCACTACGCCGCTCCAGCTGCCCATTACACATCCTATGCCGCTCCTGCTGTAGTCAGATACCACCATTAAAGATTTGGCGAAAGTACTTAAATATTTTAGAGACTATTTTATAAATGCTGTTTTTTATTTATGAAAATCCCGATTGTTTCCAATATTAAATGAAAATTAAAAACTAATTAACTCTGGTGTGTGATATTATGAGATAGGGTTAAGACATTATGGTTCACCTTTGAACTTTGTGTTAAGAAATATGGGCCAAATTCAGAACAAAATACTCAAAAATTTATTTTAAAATTTGTTTTCAGTAAGCTAAGTACCTAATGAGCTCTATTTTTAATCTACTTCTCTCTTATGGTGGATACAGTTACATACAACAACGTTTACAAATCATACAACTTTATTACGAGAACTCACGTTCTGTAACGAATGTGTTTACCGCGCTTCGCTCAACTCATGGTCAACATGATCGGAATACTCAGCGTACTATTCGCAACGCTATCACCTATCTTGAGACTCCGCATTCAGGCGGAGCTGACAGTGTACACGAAGACTGTGCAGAGTTGATACGACACCGTTCACAACAACTCGGATTGACGTATGGAACGACTTGGCGCATTTTACGGAGAGATCACAAATTGAAAGTGTACAAAATATGCTCTATGGGCATTGAAAAATTTTGTTCAGCGATGAATCTCATTTTTGAAACGAAGAGCAACCTGCCATTTCATCTAGAAAAAAAAACGTTTTAGTGTGGTTTGTGGGCCGGTGGAATCATACAGATGCCCGAACGAGTCAAATTGGACTCAATGAATAGCCAATTTGAGACGTAACCGCGACCAACAAACATATAATTTTAAAAAAAGAAATGTGGTGATAGTTCTTGATCAAAGACTTACTTATAGTTTCAATCTCAGTTCAGTTATTCTGACGTTCCTCAATCACTTTTGTTGATGTCATGTTCTTTGATATAAAAAACTTTCAAGCCGAATTAAGGATTAATAAAGAAAATATATCTTTCATAAAGATCTTTATCTTGATTTCGAACGGTTATTTTCAAATTTCAATTATATGTTCAGTGTTTTAATATAAGCAACAAGCGGAGCTTTGTAGTGTTGACTTGAACTATATTCCATGTCAAATAATTATGAAGATATCTTGTGAAATGAAATGGTTTTCCATACAAGATTTCGACAAGTTTGTATGCAGCTGTATTCTATAGTAGTCCGCTATCAACGGTTCAAACCGCTGAGCAGCTTTTTGGGGAGAAAAGGACTTCTGTCAAACTCTTCAATGTGTTCTGTAAGGTTTGGGTTTTAAGCATGTTATGTTTCACTTTGGTACAACGCTTGAACGTTATCTAATGGTCTCTTCACGCAACATCTTCTTCTATGAGATCCATTAAGCCAGAATGGTTTCGTCAAAAAACAAAATTGTTACTACTTGGGTGAGTCAAATGTTTGTGAGATTCAGGAAACGCTATTTCCTTTCCAAAAAGCCACTGTTTGATGATTTCTATTTTCGCCTAATATTTCAACTCTAAACAGGGACACATTGCGTGCAAAGTTTGACGACTCGTTAATTTCGAGGAATGGATGCGTTAAGCGATTTGACACCCCTAGATTATTTTCTCTGGCTTTATGTTAAATCAATTAATTTCGTTCAATTAACTACCGACGCACGAGAAGCTCGTAAACAAAATTCAGTGCACTACAGCTGACATTACAGCTGAAATGCTACATCGGGTCATGGAAAATTTACGTAAAAGCGTGAATATTTTAAAACGGAGAAGTGATGGCCATTTGGCCCACATTTTGTTCAAATCAAAAATTCCATAAAATTATCTGCTTAAAAAACCAGAACCCATTCTGGCGAATTTTAGTGTTTCATGTAATTTTAATATCATGTTTTTGTTTTTTCCGAGTTGGCAGTTTTTGGCTAGATAAAATTCGATTTATAAAACGGATAAGTCGGATAAAAAACGGTTTATTTTTAACATCACATCTCTTTTGTTGGTAGACCCTGATTTAATGCAAATATCCCATAAACTATTGGAATAAAAAAGTCAAAATCATAGCAAAATCTTTATAATGGACCACTCAGGCATATCAAGTTGAGCTCTAAGGTAAGCAACTCGAATAAAAGGTGGCATAACTTTTCCTTACCTCCTTGATTGATATTGTGCTCTCCTTACCTTCTTGATTATTCGATATTGTCATCGTTATGGCTCAATAAAGGTTTTCTATAAACTACTTGCAAATGTGTTTCAAAAATGTTTAATGTTTCAGTAACAAGAAGCTCACTCTAAGCAAACAATATACAATTGGTTCTCATTGCCACCCATCTTTTTTAAGCCATATGAAAATTATACCTATGTATATTAATTTTAAATGTAAAATGTCACACTCTCATATTTCGTCAAAAAAACACATTTCGTCTAAAAGACATAAAGTTAATAAACCATATACCTTAAATGAGCAAATGTCTGCGCTCACATGTCAAAATACCCACACATGTGAATAATTGTTTCCTCAAATGCGTGTGTGACCTTAGCTTTTCGAAAAAACGATTAACTTTCATTTATTTTATAATGCTGAGCAGATTAAACGGATACACACGCATATTGCGGCAGTTTCTTATTGTTTTAGTACAGCAAATTGGGCGGTGAATAAACCAGATTTTAACAAAAGAAATTTTCAATGATTAGCTGAACAGGTGTGGACTATAAATTGATCCGTTGACGGATACTTCATATCATTCACTTCTGGCTATCTCAGCGACAAAGAACCCAACTCAGTTCAAAAACTTTTAAAAATATTTACAAAAATGGCATTCAAGGTAAATTAAGGCTCGGCTAGTGTTAAAATATCCTGTTCTAATAGCGTGCTAATGTTTTTCAATCTATTTGTTTCTTCCAGTTTGTATTCGCACTCGCCTTCGTCGCTGTTGCCAGCGCTGGCTACGTACACGTTGCTCCGGCATACCATGCCGCACCAGCCGTCGCTGTGCACGCAGCACCTGTGGCTCATTCAGAGGAATACGATCCTCATCCTCAATACAAATACTCTTATGGTGTTGAAGACAAATTGACCGGTGATGCCAAGAGTCAAGTAGAGGAACGTGATGGTGATGTGGTTCGCGGTGAATACTCCCTCATCGACGCTGATGGTTACAAACGTACTGTACACTACACTTCGGATGACGTGAATGGTTTCAACGCCGTCGTCAGCCGTGAACCTTTGGTTAAGTCCGTTGCCGTCGCTCCAGTTGTAAAGACAGTTGCTCCAGTTGCCCACTACGCTGCTCCAGTTGCTCACTATGCCGCTCCAGTCGCTCACTACTCTGCCCCTGCTGTGGTCAAGACCGTTGCCCCAGTTGCTCATTATGCTGCACCAGTGGCTCACTACGCCGCTCCTGCCGCTCATTACTCTGCACCAGCTGCTCATTATGCTGCTTACTCATCTCCAGCTGTCGAGTACCATCATTAATTCATTTCCACGATCATACCTGTTCACCAGATCATTGAAACGATTGATAATATCCTTAAATTAGTAAAATGTTTTTCATGTATATATTCAGTATTGCTATTTATTCCCATAATAAATATTGAGAAACTATAAAAGTATTATGTCTTTCTATTCTGAGTTCTGTAGAGATTAAAGGGTGGCTCTCATCCGAGGCTGTTGTTCCCTAGCGGGTCCCAAACCCAGCGCACAATGCTGAGGAAAAATGGGTCGCCTTCTCATTATAGCTTGCCTTCGGAGGATATTTGGTTTTAGACCGGAAGTCGTGAGCTGCTTTAACCATATGTAAAAGAATCGTTTCTGGTCACTCACATAGCGTGAACTTCTACCCATGAATCCATCCTCCCAAAGAAGAAGAGAATAAAGATGACTTCAATTAAGACAATTTTGTCATCATATTTGAACATAATTTAGATGGCAAAGATTAATTCTTAACTTCCATATTTGGTAGTTATAAGAAAATAGAACAGATCTTCGGGGATAACACATAAAGCTAAATGGCTACACTTTGTTTTCTGGTCAAAGCTTTACCATCAGGAACGTAGAATTGATACAAACAAGTAAAGAGAAGATTTCCTCAAGAAATATTTGTGAGCTTAAAACTGAAAATGCCGATTCCACAATGGCTGTATAATACTTCAATAAGAACCGAAAGCAAAAATCTCGTTATCACTCAGTTTCATTTCCAAATATCAGTCGGTAAATGATTATTGAAACTTCTGTAATAAAGACTAAGATAAAACATTTTTCCAATATATCGACTAGATCTTTTTTCTCTTCGTTTTTTTATACACAATCTGATAATTCTGAACACGTCCATTATAGGCCTATTAAAGTTAACCAAAATGGTTATCAAAAAATGTTAAATGCGTAAAAATTTACACCTGTGTATTTTTGTCTAAACCGAAACTAAAAAGTTAAAGGCAGAGAGAGGAAATATGAGAGGTGGATTTTTTAAACTCAATTACACACCTACATTTCTAAACGCGCCATTGAGCGGTCGATTGGCCCATATGGTCGTTCACAGTGCTCTAAGTGTATGAACTATATCCGTGATAACAGTATGGCTTACGAGACAAAGCCGGAATAAGCTGTGGTGGGTAAAACATTTTACCGAATCATCAGCGAACGTCATTACAAGTTCGTGTTGTTTGTATAGCAAACGCGAATGTTGATTATAACGACCCATTAGGAAAACTAATTATGAATAAAATAAAGGCGATGTTTTATGAAAGCTGTTTTCAATTCGCCATTTCTCTGTACGCTATCTTTGCGCGCTGCTCTTTTGCCAAAAACTTACATGTAAAGCGAGAGCGAAGTTATCGAGTTGTGTTCTTACAAGAGAGAGCAGATACATCAATAGTATGGTACGTAAGCTGACCTTTATCTTTCGGGATTAGAGAACGAAAAAAAATATTAATTATCGAAAGATCTATACACTTGTGCATTTGTTGGAACCACATTTCGAAGCTCTGTTGCCACTCTGATTGAGGTATCTCCATAACATGACTTTTGAACACAACAACTGCTTCTTCAGGTTTAGAAAATCCTTGACCTCTTACTATATTTTTTGGCGCACGGGAATAAAAAGAAGTCATTCGGTGTCAAGTCAGGACCGTACGGTGGATGACTCATAAAATCGAGGTGTTGAGGGGTCAAAACTTCAGTTATTTTAATCCATGTTTGAGAGCTAGCAATGTCGTGGTGAAAAGTAATCCATTTTCGGTAATTGGTTGTCCCGATTTCTTATAAAACAACTAACACAAAAATGGTTGTGAACCACCCATTACTGTTATTCATTGTTCTGGTAGTATGGTTGCGACATTTGCAGTTTTTCCAAAAAAAAAAAAAAAAAAAATACAAGGAAACATTTGCTTCAAAGTGTTATGACCGGAGAAAACTTTTGTTGGATTCGGCTCATTTTGAAACACCCATACAACCAACTCCTCTTTAATTTTGGGCTCATACTCATAAATAGACTACTTATCATCTTCCGTTATGCCATAGATGTTCCAAAGCACCGCTGTTTTTGCATTTTTTTCTCCACAAATCGACACAAATATTTTTTGAGCGATCGACATATTGAGTTGGATTCCACGAGGAAAAAAAAATATGTTATATACATATAAAACGTTATATCAAATGTTCTTGCATATAGTTTTAGGAACAAGAACTGATTTCGGACGACCTTCACGAATGACCTACTAATTCGATTGGATTCACCAATGAACGCTGACAATTTAATTAAGTTTTTCCGTGCACTGTTGCTGAGTTAATCCATGTCTATGTTCACGATTGAATTCTATACTTTGGCTGATATGAATATTTCAAGTTACTGTAAACAGCATAAAAAGTGCTTGGATGTGAAAGCGTTCTGAGTATATATAACATAAAAAATATCAAACATTACGATAAAGTCCTGAGTTGCCAGATTGCAACACTGGGATTGCCCAGTCCCGTAATATACAACGACCGTATTAATAAATGTTACTTTTTACTAGAAGCGTTGTTGAAATATTTAAAACCCTCAAAGTATTGAATATACACGTTATTCGAAATTGCGCCTCGGAACTGCGGTTTCAAAAATCTGATTGACTTGAATCGGTTAGGAAGTTAAACATTTTTTGGATAATATTTTGTTAGCTAAGACGCAATCAATCCTAAGAGATTTAACTCCCACGCGAGGTATAAAAAAAAATTTAACTAATCTTAATTTCCGACAGGGTAGTCATTCGCGTATGTGTGTTTGCATATTCTTTGCCCACATGAGTTCCTTAATTAAGCCATTTAGTAATTTGGCCATTTGATTTAGCAGTTGGCGCCAAGCACTTGTCTGCCAGCACTACGAACGAAACCAGCCAATGAACAGAGCATTAACTGCATTAACCGATTATGCCCGCTATAATTTCAACGCCATACGACACATGGACGCGCTGCGCAGACTTAGCGCAAATCACGTTTACCGTGTTTACGCTGAAAGGTTTGAAAAATTGGCCGGCTATTTGCCAGCGAATGCGTTGAAAATTGTATCGCGAACATGACATTGAAATTCCTCTTGCAAACGGAATTTCCTAATTGTTAGATATGTACTTACTAGTATATTCGCTCGTCATTTCAAACTCTGTATACGTATGTAAATATGTGTGTGCGTATTTATTGGAGCACTGTGGATAACATGCGGTGGAGCAATTGTTGCTTAATGCCACCAATATTTGGCTAATGAAATCGAAAAATTCTCATTAAAACACGACAGCGATTGAATGGACGATTGGAGAATTTCGTGAGATTTTTTATTTATTAAATAAAAATATAAATGTAAATACATATGTTTCTACGCCATTGTGTTATTATAATCGTCTACATACATATGTACACATGTTTAATTAATTTACAGGTTTTCATTGCAGTAAGGCAACGTGATTCGCATATTTCCGGTTCGAAATTCTTAACGCTTCATTTTATGCTCCAAATTCGTACATTTTGATTGATAATAATACTCGCTAGGTATACAGGGTGGTTCATATGTTGATTTATTTTTAAGTTTTCATGAAAATGAAAAAGTATAGGTCGGCCAATTATCGGTTGGGGAAAAAATGTTATTAACGCATTTTCTTAGATAACTGTTACAACATTGTGGCGCTGAGATCCGAAAGCCCGTGATATATTTGATATTTGGAATGTATACCTAATACTACAAATTTACAAAGATCAAGATTGGGAGCCATTTTAAGCATTATATTAAAGTATTCTTAGTAGAGAATTGTTGGAGAAAAGAATCTGCCAAAATTGTTACAAAGCAGAGGGAACTCCGAGTCCGAGAGGAGTTGCCCCCGATTTTCAGTTCTCTCAAGGTTAACTGGGTCCACTGTAATACTTTATACTACTAACAACAGTCTAGCTTACACTAACTAGTAGTCTGAGCACTTTCAATATATCGTGGGTAAATTCTTTACTAATGTAGAATTTCAAGCCCACAATTGCAGACCGATTAGAAAACAGAGACTCCAGGAAATTCAACTAAAAAATCAGTGCAAAGGAACTTCAAATCACTGGGCTGAACTGGTAATTGGCCAGCACTAGTCCAACATTAGTTTTTCTTAAATACTTTTTGAACTCAAAGTGCATCGGAAGAGGTTTAGTGAGTTTCTTTAATTCTGGGAGTTCTAACTGGTTAATGCACTAACGCTGTCCAACCGTTTAGGTTGAGACTTTTATCGGATGAAAGTTTTAGAAGTTGCTTGGAAGAAAACAAAGTAGAAACCACCCTTTCTTCTTGAGTGTTTCGCCTCTGAGGCTCTCACTTTTAGACATCCCGGTGAGCTGAAATAAAAGGCCTTAATAGATTTTTATTGGCTTCAAGGCGCCATGTCGATTTATATGATCTAATAATAGCAGTTTATTTTCTGGTTTCGCAAAGCACTGCATATATCAGTATAAGTGAGATCGCCATCTTGAGAACCAGCTATGGCAACAAATTCTTAAATTTTTTTCCGATCTCACCAGAAGTTACAAACGTTACTACATTCTTCGAACAATGACCAGGACCAAAAAGGACAATTTCCGTGATTTGTTTACAGAGCTATATTTATGTAGATACCTCCTAAGATTGACAAAGAGTTTGAGATCAAAAATTATCTTCTGCAAAAAGGTAAATGTAATTGAAATTGACTTTTTCTAAAGCCTCCAAAGTCGATCGAGAGGTCGCTGCAGACATGCCTCGTTCTAGACAACTTTCGTCCTCTTCAACTGATGAAAATATTAAACAAGTAAAGGACATGGCGCTTGAAAATTATCAGGCAAGTGTTAGAGAAATCGCTATAGAACTGCACTTCTCGCATTCTTGCTCGACTAGTCCCCATAAAGCTGAATTCTTTTCGAAAAGAGTACCGTAAATAGGCCTCTTCTGATATGCTTGATCGTACGAAATCCGATTCCATATTCATGGATATCATCGAAATGGAGGGGAAAAAACGAGACGAAATCCAAACAACCACGCCAAAGCCGCTCAAAAATCAAGATGATTTGGGGTTTGGTGCATCATGAATTTATTCCAGAGAG